TCATGCTTATTCCAGCAAAGATCATCATCATCTCTCCAGGTCTGAAACACTGCCAGGTGCAGGTTTCACTCTGGCCCTCGCAGGGTTTTTTATGTATCTCTATGGTAACACAGTGTGTCAGCATTCCATTAAGTTTTGTGGTAGACAGTTGATGTAAACATTGTTTTTTCAGTCTATCTGGCTTTAAAGAGACATAACAGTGTAACTGCTAAATAAGCTTTGTGCTAGATCATATAAAATATGTCCAGTGATGATATTTGGTTATTAGTAACTGGGCAAAGTGAACCCACAGTTTTAAGTCATATAGTGATCAGGTCATAGAGTGAACCCAAATGTCATAATTTTTATATTCATTGTGCCAGTTTACTTGGACATTACCTCTTAAAGCGATTTATCAATCATTATATGCCTGCTGAGACTTTCCTCTGGGTTAAGAGACAGTTAAAAGAAATTTGCAGTGGTTTTGCTCTATGAGCCTGGCATAAAGGCTTTGTGCTGACATGAGGCTGTAACCCCAGACCTTGGAAATTCCATTTTTAAGTGCTGACAGTTTTGCAGATATATAGGTTCATGCAGCTTCTCAGAGAGGCTTTGGAAAAATTACAAGCTGAAGTCAGTCAGTCTGTGCCCTGTGACAGAAGAGGGCTCTCAGCAGGCATGTGCCAGCACCTCTTCATCTTTCAGCAGAATTCCTGACTTATGTGGAGACCTAGCTGTGTTTCAAGGAATTCATTGGCACAAACATGAAGTTTTCTGAAGAAGGAAAACATATCTGATGTGGATTCAGAGTAGCAAGTACAGTTTTTAAGAGAGACATTCAGATTTAGGAAAGTTTTAGTGCTTTGTATCTGTGCAGGATTTAGGAAATGCAACTTGAGACCCTGACAGGCCTCAAAAAAAAAAAAGCCCTAAAAAATGCCCCACTTTAGAAAACTGTTGTCTGATTTAAGAACTTTACTTCAGAAATTTATTTCTTTTTAGAAACTGAGCAACGTCAATATATATGCACATAATGCATAGAAACAGATGATGCACTGACTGGCAGTATTGCCCATCTAATGTTCATACATAATCATCCTTGCTCTTACCAGTTCTAGGAATCTTAATGTTTATGCAGTAATTGTCACAGTACAATGAGACCTTCTGTGTAGGAAAGCCTGTTTCTGGTTTTTGTTTTGTTTTGGTTTGGTTTGGTTTGGTTTTTTTTACTTTAGAGTAATCTAAACATCAAGAAACAGTTTTAAATACAGTTTCTAAGAACAAAGAAACAACTGGATTGACAGTAATAAACCTTATTAAATGAAACTTTATACTTAAGGTGCCATCTGGGAACTATATACAAAGACTGTTCTAAAAGCACAAGAAATGTTCACATTTATATGAACTTAGGTATGTTTTTTTTTTTTTAATATATATTTCACACTTTTTAAAATTTAAATAGAACTCAAAATGCAAACACACAAAATCCAGGTGTACTGGAAACATGTGTTCACATTATAAATATTATAACTGTACTCAAAAATATAGAAAATAAAGTAGTATATAACTAAGGGAAGAACTAAATCAATGCAGCTACCCACTTGTGCCATTAACTGAAAGAAATAAAGAAAATGAATTCTCTAAACATGGATAACCCCTCGTTTGAGATCTGGAAACAAAAGTGAAAAAAAAAGCTTATAAAACTGAAGCCCAAGAGATACACCATAAGAATACTTTACAAGCAATTTACCACACAGTTTAATATCTACACAATCTCTTTGATAAATGGACTCTCCACTGATTATTTACAGATTTCACTACTATTATAATCTCATCCAATCTTTCTAAGACACTCTGCTTATATAAATAAGGATTAGTTAGCAAAGTTAATTACTGTAAAAGAAAAATGCTACACTTGGGATGAAATTGCAGTCTCGAGTTTGTCTGTTTGCTGTCTTCTACTTGCAGGTGCTAAGGCAGTTTTGATTAGGACCCTGGATATTCCCAAAAGGTCTTTTCTGGAGGTAGCTGTACATGGTGGAGAGACCCAAACTAATTTTGGAATTGTAATGCTGGAGAGCTAATTGCAGCAACATAAAATAATTTACATGTAATTATTAGGGAAAGTGTAATAATTTAACAAAATCAGATGTCGAGTTCTACACAATGTTCCCATATCACACAGATGATCTGATCTATTGCACACAGGAAACTTTGGTTCTCAAGACATTCCCCTTTAGTCATTAAAATGTCAAAATGCTTGAGTTTCTATTGATTTCAGCAGGAAATAGGAATGAATTGGAGTTCTGTGGTGAACAGAGCTGGTTCTATCCAGTTGTTGTCCACTAGTATTTTAGAGAAATTTCAATTAGCTTGAACTCAGAAAGTCAAGATATTAGCTTAATTGCACATAAACAGAGTCAGTTGTGGGTTGGTGTGATCTCACAAGGCACAGAGCTACATTTTCCAAGGTTGGACTCTTCAACAGTTAAGTCAAAAATTATTGCATACTTTGGCTCCTTTTCAGGTATTCCTACAGAGTTTCCAGTTGTGGTCTGTTGGCCTGGAGTGACCGTGCAAGGGAGGATGCAGCGGAGGGGAGTGCAGGGCTTTTCCTGTGCTGTGCACACATTGTCACTGCACATCCCCACTGCAAGATATGCCTGGCACCTCCATGGCTGCTTTATCTGATTAAGGACACAGGACTACACATTTTTACTGAAGACTTTGTCAATTTTTTAAAAGAAAATTGGCTTTGCCATTCACAGAAATTACATAATATGTTCTTTGAGAAGTGTCCTTATGTGGCTGTCAGGAGGGCACCAAAAAAGCCTCTCAGATGTGTGTGATTAAAAGAGACACATCTAGACTTTGTGAAAAGTATCCTATATGAGTAATTAGAAGAATTATAAATATATTTCAATTAAAAAAAGTTATTAATCTGTATTTTTGAAATCTATTTAAACCTGGTATAATTAAAATAGGAATTTAAAAAAAAATTCTTTGTGAATGTTTTTGAAAAAACATTTTTGCAAAATATGTTCTGATCCCAACAGCTCTGTTTAGTCATACAATTGGTGAAAATCTCTTCAGACAGTTATTTAATTTATACAATACAAGACAAACCCTATTAAATACATCCCTCTTGATGGATGTATGTGTTTAACCTTCAAAGGTGGAGATTCCTCAGGGAATCCATTTCAGGCTGTATTATCCTTACTACTAGATTCCCAAAAAGTTAATTTGATTCTTCCCTGCTAAAACTTAAGCTTGTTATTTTTGCTGTTGCCTGACACTCCCTCAAAGTGCAAATTACTTGTTTTATCATTCCAGAGATGCGCACGTATCTAAAGACTGCTATCCTCTTCCAGGATTGCTTTATTTCCTTCAGGTTAAACTTTTAAGTCTTTTTAACCGTTCCTTATATGACATGTCTTCCTATACTCTAGTTGCCATCACTGCTTCTCTAAACTCTGATTAGTAGCTCACGTCTTTATGGTAAGATGTGGAAGGTCCTGTCCAAAACCAGAAGTGCTTCAGTTGAAACAATGCTGGTTCTAAGTGAAGTGGGAGGATTGAATCATGTGGTGCTTAGACCATCCTCTTACCCTCCAGTTTGCAGGAACTCTCTGAGAGAAGGATTCTCTGGATTCACACACAGTAAACAGAGTCAAGAATCTGGAATTATTTAATGCAATTTAAAAGGCACTAAGTGTCCTTTCTGGTGGATTACTTGATGTAGACTGAGTGCCATCTGGAGGTCAAGAAACATAGAGCTCTGTATGCTTTCATGCTAAAAAACAAAATTCCCTAGGTTTACAAACAAAATGTTCTTACATGAGTAGGAGCTTGAGCCTGACAGATACTGGGCATCCACCACTCAGCGTAAAGTTTGTGACCCAGAGTAAGGCATGCAAGGGCAATGTCTCTTGTTGTTATGCAATCACCATAAAATGTGCAACGTCTGAGTGGCCTGTGAAGTTTTCAGAAAAAGCTCTGGACAGCACAAGGACAAGAAAAGTCTTGATCTGCTTTTTCTTCTCCTGCTTTCAGGAGACAAATGAGTTCCTGGCGCAGTTTTCTACTCACCGGAGAGAGCAGAAAGCACTTCAGCTGAACAAGAAGTTTTAAAAAGATGGTTCCTATTAGGTGTGTCTGAACTCAGTTCTCCATCATCATTCATGTACGCACAGAGTGGAATCAGCCTTCCTCACCTGGGCGAGTTGCATGAGGTGGTCATCCTTCTTTAGGTAACTTAGCTGTCATCTTGAAAGCCCTGATCCTTCATAGTTCTCACTGTCTTGAGAAAGTCAAGAGGAGAAGCGCTTGGCAGTCGTGACTTCAGAGGGTTGGACCTGGCTCTTCTTGCTACAGTGCCTTTTTTTTTTGCCTGAGACCACATGGATCAGTGATCACACTGGTCACAGTGGTCACCTAGTTTTCTGGGCTTCCTTCTGCCACTGAAGTCTAATCATGAAAACAAATAGCTTTAATTGCAAAGTGTGAGTGCACCCATCTTTATCTCATTCTGGTGAGAGAATGCAGTCTGTTGTTTCAAGGCAATGCTAATGGTTTCTGTGTTGAGCTCCACGTAGGCCTGAGCATGATCCTGCAGAAGTTACATACAGCTTTAAGGACAGATATTGTGTGTACCCTCTCCCTGCTCTGCTCCTTGCAGATTTTTCCCTACAGAACAACAGGCCATAAAGTTTCAACCTATGTAATGAAGATGCTCTTGCTGAACAGGCTTTTGTTATTGTTGTGTTGATTTAACTTGAGGATGGTTTCCCTGGGAAACCACAGATTTTAGGGATTATGAACCTGTTAAATTCAAGACTGACAATCCTGAATGTGTAAGACAAGTTGCTGAGCCAACACGCCTTCAGAGCAAAATGTGAAAGCCTTCTTCCTTGTCAATGAGTTTCCATCAGCTAAACCAGAAAAAAAAAAAAAAAGCATAAGGGAAAGGAATTGAAGAGCAGCAAATCCACAGAAACAGAAATTAAAACTAGTGTGAAAAATATTTGTTCTTCAGCAGGGAGTGGTGAAAAGCACAGAGCATGTCTCACATGCCTAAGTATTATTCTTTAGAGCAAGTTTAAACATGCAGATGACAGAAGCTGATGAATCTTTGTCTAACTACATGAAATGCAACAAGCTGCTGCGTTTTTATCATGCTGGCTTTCAGAACTGGAAGTGCATTTTTTATGTTGTGACTCATCTGAGCAGATCTCTTATAATTGTTCGCTTTCAGGAGACAAAATTCAGGAAGAAATGGCCTTTTGTCTGTAGTTTTGTTCTTTCAGATATTAGTAGCATCCTTACTGTATTTTTCATAGGAAGATGGATGAGATCTGTAGTGCTGTCTGTATATGGTGCAGTCACTCGAAATATGGAGAGGATCATCTATTATGGCATTGTTCGATCAGATCTGTTTTTACCCTTGAAAGAACTTACTTTGTTGCTGTTATGTTGTTACTGAAGCACTAAGAAAGCTGGAACTCACTCTCAAATATCCCGATTCATGCAGCACTACTGAAGAATTCATATTTACCAGAGCCCTGTGAAGCTCAGTATTCATATGGCTGCCAGTAGTTTGGTTGGTTGAGTTGGGAACTTTGCTTGAGAACACAGACATATAGCTTGGCAGTGGCTTCTGCTCCTTTCTCTTACCCTGGATAAAACAAAGACCAATAATAAGTTTTCAAAATTGAAAGAATTGCTTCTTACAAAAGTACAACTTACTGAAATTATTTGTAATATCAGCACTTATAATATCAGCCCTTCTGCTTTCAAAATTAGAAATTAAATGTACTTAAATATATCATACAAAATGTACATGAAAGTGTAGAAAGAAAGCAAAACAATTGAGGGTTTTTTTTTTTCCCTGTTGTCTTATGATAGGATAACAGAGGGAATGAATAATTTTAAAATGTGTTGCATAAAATGTTATCTGGGACAGAAGTTACCCTGCTCTAGAATGGCTGTAATGTGGGAAGTTTTTTCTTTTATTTTTAGTAAGTGGCTTGGATTTCAGCAAGATGTTTATCTTACAAATTTGCTCCTAGGAAGTTGATTCTTCCAGCACCTGTCTTTTTGCCAAGTTGTTAACATTAAAACAGATAGAACACACATAGGTAGCAGAGGAAAACATTTTAGCTCTATTATTTTTCCTAAAGATTATAGTAGTAAAGAGTTTGCCAATAATGCCTAGGTATGCTTCAATTTGAAATATTAGCCTAGCTCAAATTGATGAAAACTAAAAAGAGCATGGGTACAGTTAAATGTCTGTTCAAAACTCAACATTTGGTCATAGTCCTTTAGGAAACTCCAGTTCTGGTACCTTGGAATAGAAGTAAAAAATAAAGTGTCAAATTTTTTTGTCTTTAAATAAATTGGTTAATGTTGATCATAATTGAATGCCTGTTCAACTGCTCAGTTTGACACATGCAGCCCAGCTGATAAACCTGCAGATTCCTTGTACTAAAACCTGTCTTTTTGGTGATGGAGCCCAGGGTTTTCTTTATTTCCATACTATATGAGGAGTGGGTGTTGTTTTTGCTAAGGGAAGGTGAGAATACCATGTCCCACAATGCCTTGTGCAAATGCAAATAAATTACTTATGACCTGAGTTGCTCTAGAAAACATTTGTCCAACGCCTTGAGGAAGACACAGCATCTTATTTTTGAAATGACCAATACTTTGCTGGCAGAAGCCTGTGGTAGGAGTTCTCAGAGCCATATTGCTGCAGGAAAATATCCATGTGAGTATTCTGTGCAGATAGGCAGCTGTGCTAGGAGCACATGGAGTCAGAAAACCTGAGTTTGGCACTTCAGCTCTGTTTTATACCTGGTGTGGGAATGCAGGGCAAGTCCTTTTACTTTCTGTCCTTTGCTTTCCTCGACCTGAAATGGTAAAAACATCAGTTCACCCACTATTGTAAGAGTACTGTGAGTCAAGAGAAGAAACAGTTCTGTACAGCTCTATCTGCAGCAGGGCTCAAGGGACACCTGGGCTGACTCTGAGCTGCTTACCTGTGCTGCACCCAAGCTCATCAAACTAGTGCTGAAGCTGCACATCCTTCTGAGCTGAGCTCGACTGTACAGCACAGCCATGTACCATGTGGGGCTAGGAGCATTGGATTTCTGTGCTGCACTCCCCTGTCCAGTACAGATATGCCCCAGGTGCAAATAAAATTGAATTTATGACTGTTGTGTTTATCACTATATGTCTTGGTACACCAGCACAGGACTCAGGTCCTAGAATTGAGCATTATCAGGTTTGGGTGCTACTGAATGGTGCTAATTAGTCAGAAATGCCATGGTCTCAGGTACTGCCCTACATCTACTTCTAGTCAGACCATTTAATGCATACAAGTCTTTGTCCATTCTTGTTTTTGGGACAGGAATGTGGAAGTGAAGGACAGTCCCCTGCAGGCTGTAGGGTATATAGTTTGATGAATCCATCCTTAGGCATCTTTTTCTTTGCAAGCCTGTCCTACCCTTTTGCAAGAGTTTCTGTCTTCATAGCTAAAACTGGAAAGCAGAACATGCTTCAGCTGTATGATGTGTTACATTACACATGAAAGTGAGTTTGCACCAATATTCATGACTGTCAACCCCAGGGAAAGGCACAGAATCCTTCCTTCTGCCTTAGCTAGGGAATGAGTATGGAACAGGCTGAGCCTGTTGAGCAAGAGTCGGAGTGTCCCAGCACAGCTGGGAGAGAGTAACGTAGCCCTGGCTTTGCATGCGTCAGAGTCCTGGCATCAGCCTGTCCCTCGAGTAGACAGAGCCAGGCAAGACTGCAAACACGTCTCTGGGGAAATCAGAGCTGGGATCTGCATCTCCTTTGGAAGGCTGAAGCGGGTGGAGGTTTTGGATGGTTTTGTTTCCCGTTTTAGATAATTCTGAGTGATACTCTTTTTCTTCCCTTTCCTTAGCTTGGGCAGTGTGCAGCTGGAAATGGAGCTGACTTTAATTTTACCAAGAATATTCTTCTAATAGACATACTGATGATGTATACTGAAGCATAAACACTTACTCAAGATATGTGGCAGAGACAGGATCTTAATTTTGGGTTCCTTTGGGTCACTGGTGCATGCACAGCCAAAGCTTAGGTTGTACGTGTGCAGCAGTCTGCTGAAATACCACAGCAATGGGGCAAGTTCAGTAGATTTACAGACTGGGAATACAAAATTGTATTTTGGCAGAACACTCTGTTTAGCTTCCATTTCAGCCATTTCCAAGAGTATGAGAAGAGGTGGTAATATCACTCTGTCTGCAATAAATTATAAAGCTTGGCACTTTTATGTCTTCATTGTGGAAATCTCTAAAAGCTAAAAGATACTTAGCATGCAGTTCTTTGCATTGATTTTCAGCTTAAGCCCAGCATGCTGGAGATATTAGGACAGATTTTGTCCAGTGAAGGAGAGCAGAGGTAATGTAACCCTAGAAAGGAAGGTATTAGGATCTGATCCAAAGTCCCTGCAGCAGCAAATTTTGTTTGATAGTGTTGGTTTTGGATCAAGCCCTAATGCTGTCAGGGATTATCAGGACCATTGTCAAGACAAGCCAAAGAGGCATGAACTGGAAGAAGTGACTTACCAGATTCTTCTTCCTCTCTGTCCAGCCTCCACAGACTCTCCAGATCTTATCCTGTTGGACCTGGTCTGCCTGCTTGTCTGCCCAGGCCCAAGCAGCCATTTGTGCAGTGGTTGCCAGTTCTGCTCAGCTGGGTGCTGCTAGGACACAGGAGGAGCTGGGGCTGGTTGCCCCAGAGTATGGTTCCTGTTTGCTGAGACTTAACCAAGGTATTTCTCCTGATTCCAGAACTCCTTTCCAGCTTGTCCATTTTGAGACTCACCATATACCCAGCCTTTTTAGCCATATTGTGACTTCTCAGAAAGTGAAACCTATTCTTGTTTGCACTTTTGAAGTTCCTTTTCTCCTAACATTTTTTTTTCAGCTATTGCTTTGGAGTGCTTTCAGAAAAGAATATACACAGCAGCACTGACAGGCAGTGCTCAGCACTGGTTTACTTCCCTCTTATTTAATGTCCTTTTCCTACTTCTTTCTGTTGCATCATTGCTTGCGTGCTGTCGGGGTTTTCATGGTAACAGCAATTTCATAAGAAGGGACTGTAATTGGAAGCAATGGGATCTCCAGATGTAGCCAGCAAACTCTTAGCTTACCAGGTGATTACAGTGACTGCAGCTGAGATCAGCCTCTATTCAAAATCCTCAGAACAACAGTCTGGTTTAATAGCAAAGGGTGCTGTGGAGATTGCTGCTGAGTAGTCAGGAGGCCTTTTGTTGTGGTTATGTAGCAGAAGCAAAAGCTCCTGAAAGCTGCTGGTTTCCCTGTGTGTTTACTGTCTCTATTGGAAACGTCTGATTTGTGAATATATGCCAGAAGAGGAGCAGAGACCCAGTGTGACAGCTGCTGGGGCCTTGAACTCTGTTTGGGACAGAGATGTTTGGTTAAAATTAAGTGTTTCAAGGAATCTGTTCTGAAAGCTTCTTATTTTCAAATTTTAAAAAATCTTTTCTAAGCACTTGGGGAGTTTTGCAGAAGGTAGTAATCAACTATGATAAGTTTTAAATAACTTTAAAGGGTCATTAGTATAAAAAGTGAGAATTTTCAAAACAGTGTCCAAAATGTCAGTGTTTGTCTTTGCAGTCAGCCTGTTGGGCTTCTGTGGGATGAACTCACTTCCTCAAGTATTTGTGACCTTGCAGGAAAACAGAATATTTAAAGTATAAATTTCCTCTGAAATTCTTGACTGACTTGTTTTTGAATAGTGTGGATTAGTTCCAGATGAATTCTATCCTCTTGTTTCATCTTTCTGGCAAATGCTAATGAACTTTGAATCTACTTCAGGGGGATTTTGGCAAACTTATTTGCTTGCAGTATTGGGAAACACATCCTGAATTTGGCAGATAATTTCTTTAACAATAGTTAAATACAATAAATAAATACAACAATCTAAACACTTCATGTAGACAAGTTGAGCAAGAAAGACTTCTACAATTCTACAATAATTATGGAAAAGTTGTTCTGAATTTGAAGATTGTGATAACTTAAGGTAAATTCCACCTTAAACCCTTATGTTTGCTTTGGTTTTGAATTAAATTTTAGTAGGCTTTTTGTTTATTTGCTATTTTTCTGAGATAATTGAAACATGAATAGTGTTTTTCATCTCTTTCAGCCAAAAAGAAAAAGAAGTAATGTAGTCACATGGCATTGTCATGAACTGAAGAAATTTAGTGTTTTTCAGCCTGGACTAATAGTTGTCCCTATTCCTCTTGTGGAATCTTCTTATCCTGTTGCATTTGGTCCAGGGTCCTCTCCAAGTTGGGGTGTGTGCAGCTGGTTGGAGAACAGTGTTTTAGCAGCATCTGATTGCTTTAAAAGGAATCTGAGGCACGTTTGGAAGAACCAGTGGATTAATCAGAGTGCATGGGATTTTAACTCCAGATCTATTCAGAAAAGGATGCTGATGGAAAGTCTGTTCCTCTTAATTCTTGTGTACAAAGTTCCTGTATCAGATTAGAATTTTAATTCTGATCATTCTTTCAAGTCAGTTTCTGCAAATTAAACAGTAATAAGCTAAAATTTCTTGTACTGAGGACAGCCTCCAAATGACTACTTGCAGTCACTGAATAAACTGGACAGAAAGATTACAATCATATGTTTCAAGTCTATGCCATTGAGTGATCTCAGCAGACCTGGCACAGATACTGAACTGTTTCCCCTCATTTTTCCCATTTGCCAGTTTAGCATTTTATTTGCTCATTTGAATTGGTACAACTGATTTATTGTGTACATATTTTCATCCTGTAGGTTGATGTTTATTGTGGCTTCATGCCACATGAATCGATGTAAACTGATTAGAACATCTTGATTTTTTTCTGGCTGGGGACATGAAACTTAAAAAATAATTATGAGTGTCACTGTCAAAGATGGCCTTTGCTTAGAAGTTTGTTTTGTGATTAATTAATTTGACAAGCAAATGCTAGGGCCTGTAATTTTGAAGAAGAACTTGACTGAGGTTAGTCTTTTGGTTTTACAAGATAAGTGATAATATGCACAACAAATTCATCTGACAGAAATAATGGCACTTATTTCCTTTGAGTCAAAGGAAAAGAGGCCTAGAGAGGCTTTTTATAGAGGAAAAATTTCAGACAAAACCTTTTTATTTGACCACAAGAGGGTATTGCAGTATCAGTTATGCAAGAGTTTTACTAATGTTTGCCTTTATATGCTCTAACTTATTTTTAAAAGACATATTTCTCAAAACTTATCATTTAAATTAGGTAATAGTTAAGAAAATTAGGTTTTATATGCTGGTATTTGATGTCCTTGTCCAAGGGCAATTTCTGAGTTGGTTTTTCCTAACATTTATAGTAAAAGTTTCTTAACACCTTAGAGGTTCCCTTCACTGGACAACAGAGACTGAGACAGTTACTCTAAAACAATCAAAAACTTCATAGAAATGGCTTGCAAGGAGACATCAGTGACATTAGAGAAATAGTAACAGGAGATGAATGTGTTGCTGCTTTGTCTGGAAGTGCCCATTGGTCCAGGATGGAGCTGGCACAGTCAGTGAGACTCTGATCTGATTTTTCCATGTGGTTTTATTTGAAGGAATAAGTTCTGAAATCTTTTTTAGCTCATTTGTATTTCCCAATTTTCTCATTTACACCCAATTTTTCTACAGTATACATCCAATATTGATTTGCACTTTTTTAATAACTCAATACTGTGTTGCAATACTTCCATACAAAAGTTGTGTATCCTGAACTTTAAGGGCTGTGTTGCCAAATGTTTGTGCCATGGGAGAGGGACCCAGAAGGATTTTTGGATTCAGCCACTCCTACATCTACTGCTGAATTTAGGAGAAGGTGCATGGGATGCCTGCATGTCTCTTATCAAACTCACCTTTTAAAAGAAGTAGAAGAGCAGCCATATCACATTATCTGTGAGGATCAAGTTTCTGAGGGTTCTGATAGTGACTGATGGACAACAAAGGAATTTCCATACAAGCAAGTTTGTGAGCTATTGTGGAGCTTTAAGGAGCACACACATTTAAAAGCCCCGGTGCAGTGCATATTCAAATAAGAGGCAGGAGCAAAAGCTGGAGGAGAGGGCAGCCCTCTGGAGACCAGCTTCTCAGAGCAGGTCACAATTTGGAAGATCTCTGTCACTTCATGACAAGTGAAGGCACCCCCATGGAAATCTTTCAGCACAAGCAGTGTTTCCTTCCTGCCTCAAATAGTGGCATTTGGCGTGTCATCGTCATCTTCCTGGAATGAATGCAGATCAGGCAGTCAGGGTTGCAGGCTGGAAGAGGGGCCGTGGCGATGGCTGGCAGAGCAGGCTGTGGGGTGGTTGGTCAGAGGACACTGAGCACCCAGCAGAGAAGAGACATTTGGCAGGGCATTAACACACTGCTTTTTCATCAGCCCTGGCCATCAAGCACCGAGGGCTCTGGAAAGCCTGGAGATGGCAGGTCCTGCTGGTGAGCCATATCTTGGTCTGGCAGGAGCAGAACGCCTTGGGTCTCTGTATGCAGGCGGAATGAAAACAAATCCAGCCAGTTACCACTTTGGAGTCAAACTCCTTTAAAGCAATTTATGTAGCTGATTGATTAAAGTCATCATGCATTAAGTTTTGTTGTGGGTTTCTTAAAAAATCTCCTTATTTCATATATATATGGAGTTCTGCTGACAGACTGTGGCAAGTGGAGTATTTGTTGCATCAGCAGTGTACAAATACCATAGGAGGAATGTCTGCTTCCAGTGACAGTCTGACACTTCAAAATACAACCAAAGCTGTAGTACAGACTGCAAGAAATCTGTTGTGATTTTTTGTATCCCCTTATAATGGTTGTAAAATATGTTAACTACTGATGTGCAATTTTCCCTATTTGAAGCAAAAATTATTTATTTAGGCTGGTGTGTGAGTAGGGATTTGAAAATATCTGGTTTTAGGAGAAAGAATGTTAAATATATGTAGTGTTCCTCACAGGCTGAGGAATCTTTTCAGTTGCTATTGCACATAATTTAAGTCTCAGAGGCCAGATCCTGTAAAGAAGTGCAATATTGTAGGCACAACCAAAGTTATCTTTGTGAGTCAGAGTTGAGTTAAAGTCACATCCTCACCACAGCAGGGAGCTCTGGTAACTGCACAGTGGAGCTTGGCTTTATTCATCTTCACTGTTGGCTCGCACAGTTTGTTAGCAGGTCTAGGAGAATTGCAGGGTATGAACTGCTTGAGTGCTCTGCAGAGGCCGTGCTTTGTGCTGCCTAAGCACCCATGGCAGTGGATTGGCCTCTGAGTGTGGTGTGGCTCTGATTCCTGCACTCCTGGGGTCTGCAGCTGCTCACAGGCTCAGCTCACAGGGCAGGGAAGCTGCCTCAGAAATACTACAGAGGCTCGGTTTCCCCTCTCTGCTACCTGTAGCACTGTGGTACTTACAGATGTATTTTTTTGCTCTGTGAATTACAACATTCCAGCTGTTATTAATACATATTTCAGTGCTCAAGATGCTTTTCTGGTTTTGGGGTTTTTTGCATTATTCTCTGGTTTTTACCTGTCTCCTCTGGCAGCTAAGGGTATAACTTGTTGATGTACATTTTGGTACACTGAATGTTTCATTTGCCATCTGCTCACCATATTCATAAAAGACATTAACTTTCTGTTTTTATGTGAGAAACCAAAAATTCTCTACTGCAAGTTATGCAAAGTTTTCAAAGCACAATACCTAAAATTTATTTTAAATTGTGTCTCACTATTGAATGAAAGGTAGCACCTGGCTTTCAAAATGTTCTTCACCCTTGTTAGTTTTGTTGGCTGAGAATTGAGCTACTTCCTCTTAATTTTTTTAAAGGTAACTGTCAGAATCTTCTCTGAACATGTCAATCACAAGCTTTGTCTATTTTTCAGCAAAGCTTTTAGCGTCTTCATTGCAGCTATTAGTGTCAGTTTCCTTTTTAACTGTAGAAGCTAGTGTCAAATCACAGTTTAGGCTGATGTTTGTCCATCTCTGACTGTTGGGAATTGGAAAGAAGTTCTCCCTAAAGGCAGGATGTTCCCATAATGGGGATTGTGTATAACCTTTTCTTTGATACACTAAAATCTGGTGGCAGATTTCCAGAGATGATGGGAATTCAGGTCTGAAGGGACCTCAGGAGGTCTCTAGCCCAACCTGCTCCTCAGAGCATGAGCTATTATATCAGACCAGCTGGTCAGGGCTTTATGCTGTTGATCTTGGAAGCCTCCAAGGACAGAGACTGCAGAACCATTTTGGGTAATGCATCTCACCTCAGGGTTGCCACTGTGATGAAGATGTTTTGGCTTATATACAGTTAGAACCTCTCCTGTTTCAACTTGTGCCCGTTTTATTTCATTCCTCCACTGAGATATGCTCTAAGCAGCCTGACTGTGTCTTTCCAACAATCTGAATGCAGTTACTGGGACTCTGCTCTTTGGTCTCCCCAAAGCCTTCTCTGCTCCAGGCTGGATAGAACTTGATTACCAGTTGTGTTGTCT